TTGAATGAAAATTGAACAAAGAGGAAATATATTTTAACAAATCTTCTTTGCGAGTAGACCAAACGCGATTTTAACTAATCCAGTGAACGCGTTTGCAAGTCCATCAGAGCTTTCAATCTTTACAACTTTGTTTGAACGGAGCGGAAACAAGCGCCAACTCCCCGGCAGTAAACGCGAGCGCGGGCGTAATTCGCTCCAATTGCTGCTTTAATTTCCCCGTCTTACCCATTTAATTGCTCTTTGGTAAAGGCCGCTCCGCAGCAAATTCAGAGCCTTTCAAGCCTGGGAGCCTTTGAGTAAAAAACTGAGATAATTTGCTGGTTTTTTCACTCAACAGAATTTCATAAGAAAAAGAAATTTTTTGTGAATGTGTTCGAATGTTGCATCCCTTTTGATATCGGAGCGGGCGGGGCGAACAGAGAAAAGTTTCACGTGGCACTTTCTTCTTCCTCAACAAACTTTTCTTTTGGCGAAACTAATTTGATCGATCGATCAAACAACAGAAAACATTATTTTCACAGACAGCTAGGGTGCAAAACGGTTCACTGTAGAGATCTTAACTCGCAATTGTGGGTTGAAAAAAAATAGGAGAGAATAAAGTCTTCAAAGAAAGAATTCCTCATTTTTTTTTTTTTAAATAATAAAATAATTTCATTTCTCAACATTCAGATAAATGATGAAAGAAAATACAGGAATACTTCTAAAATATTTAAGATTGGCAATTTGTTTCACAGAGTTTTCTTTTGCAGTTTCCAACTGAGGCAATCAATTAAAATAAAATATTCTATGCAATAGTTTTGAAGATCAAATTTAATTTATGCCCTAGGAAATCAGTTGAAACTTATTTGAATTTTTGCATGTATTTTTTAGAATGTTTTTAATTAATAAAGCAAAAATTATGCTCAATTCCGTCTTAAATTTTTTTTAATTAAACATGAAATTGTTATGATCCTTAATCAATATTTCCAATCATTTGTAAAAAATGCAAGTTTCAACGCAAAATTTAATGCCGGAATTTGAGGTTGAAAAGTTTCATTTTCTGTGCAGCTCATTCGTATCAGTTTTTGCTTGAACGGTTAAGAGGGAAGTCTTGCCTGGGTGGAACAAGCCGCGAAACCTCTTCGGCATAAGCCAGATTTGCAAACGTGCACGTCGCTCTCTCTGGCGAAAACTTTTGCTGACAGCGGAAGCGGCGGATGATATTTCATTTCGTCAAACTGCTGCCTCCGGGTTTGCCGCGCGCGCGAGAAGATCGAGTGCTCATTTAGCTCTCGTTGAACCCAAAGTCTCTTTGCGAAGTTTAGTTTGACAAAGAGATGTTTGATACGGCGCGCACAAAGACACACTGCACGCCCGCATCCAACCCTCGCCGCGCGTCCAACCCTTCATCATGCACGCCGAATTTAACTCGGCAGAACAATAAAAATCCTCTCTGTTTGGCGACGATTTTCCTTTTTCAAAAGTGTAAAGGTTAAAAAGGGTGCTGAGTTGTTTCTTGAATATTCATTCGCCCTCGCGCGATTATCCCCGCACTCTGCTTTTAACTTTCTTTCATAAAAAAGTGTAGTGCCGAAAAATATGAATATGTTGGTGAATATATACACACAACTCGTTGGCGGAGGAAAACAATTATGCGGCACTTCAAACGCGTTCTTTTTGCTTGGCAGAGGCGACAAGAGTGCTCGCTGGCGACGAAATGAGTTCAATGGAAGAATGGAGCGAGAGAGAACGTTTGAGAGTTGGAAAAGTATGGCGGAATGTTAAAATAAACAATTGCATAAACACAACACACACAGCAGTGCAAGTGGAGAGTTGTTTGAAAAGCGACTTTTATACTTGTCTTATTTTTTGTATAAATGACCTTACTTAAAAGTAAATCTAGGTTAAAAAATGCACACTCGTTTTTTTTTCCAATTCCAAGACATTTCCAGTCACAGTTATAATGAACTGAAGTAATTATTGATGTTTATTTAGCAAAATTGTTACACCACATTGTTTCAATTGATGAAAACATTTTATTTGAAAAAAAAAGGAATTGTTGGACAAAACAGCACCACAACTATAGCAAGAAAACTTTTGAGATCAAAAAGACCCCATCCAACGCAGCAGTGATTAATGAACAGTACAAAATCCACTTAACTCTTAAACTTAATGAATATATATTATTTCACTTCGATCGCACTGTTTTGTATGAAATTAGTCCAGATCAAATTAATAACAAATATGCTTAAGTTTGTACATAAAGGGTTTCTTATACTCACAAAATAATGTTTTCCGATACCATTGATTCACATAAAAAAGCACAAAATTAGTTTTAAATCATATTTTACTGAATATTGAGTTCTAAAAATAATAATAAAATATACTTGGTAAGGAATTGGTAATCTTTCGATTTTTTCTAATAATTACACGACTTGCTGCGTTTTTAAAAAAAATCGTACCCCGAGACCAATATGTGCATTTAGAATCAAATTATCCTTTTATTAACAGTGCCTTTCATTTATAAGATTTTTTTGCTGCTCTTCTGAGTCGTAAAAGTTTTACAATAGAACAATAAAATGGTGAATTCTATCGGCCAGATTTCTCTCTTTCTGGGATGTTTTTTATTTCACTTTCCTTTGGAGCGAAAATTAGTAAAACAAGCATCAAGCCGCGATAAATCAAATAAAAAGTCCCGTCGGCCCGACAAGAAGTATAATTTGAGAAAAGGTTTATGAGCGTGTGTGTTCTCCCTTGTCTGTTTCTTCTCATAGGCTCTTATTTTATTTACAAACACACTCACTCAGTCGGTGTGAGAAGAGAAACCAGCACAATCGGCCGTCGTTGTTGTACACAATGGCTCAGGTGCACAGGTAGGCAGACAGGTTTTAATAAACGTTCAAGGCCAGTCGCGCGAGCACCAACCAACTCCGCATCAAGGTATTCTCGTTTTCGCGAATCATCGTGCGCGGCTCACCTGCTACCTCCTCGTACATACGCACGGCGCCCCATAATAATAATACATAACAAACAGCAAAGCCAGCAAATCGGCTCGCAATTAGAGCAAATAACTTCAACTGCGGCGTAATTCAAGCAGAAAATTACTGAATTGAAAATGCATCGCGGTCAATGCTGTTTTAATTTTTTTTCAATTCCCTTTCAATTACATTTGAAAAGACAAGTTTTTACATTTGTACTGATATTGAATATTAATGAAGGCCAAATAATGTCAGGATCAACGTAGAATTAAAGTGAACAAAAAATTCGCACCCCTAAGCTTTGAACCTTCATACCAGGGGTTCGTCTCAAAGGTTCACCTTTTAGCACCAATGTAAGTTAGTCCTGATAGCAAAAATCATTAAAATAATCTTCAGAATTTTTGCATCAAAGCAATTTTTCATGCCAAAAATATCTGCCGAAAAAATAATAAAATGGATTTATGAAAAATTAGTTTTGATTTTCGAGCAAATCATCCATAGGTTTTCATCCCTTCTGGAATTTCTAGCACATTTATTTGTTTCAATATATTTTATCTCAATTTTTTTAATTAGTTAATTAATTATTATTTTTTTTTAAATTTTCGATTGTTTGATAACCAAATTTCTCTCTCTCTTTCAGGCCAATTTAATTTTGCAGTAATTTTGCGTATGATGTAATATAATCTTTGAAATAAATTCACATAGCAACTTGACTGAGCTTTCAATAATCATCATATTATTGAACGAAATTATAGTGGAGACATTTGCTCATCGCTTTTCATAAGCACGGTATTCGAAACTTTTTTTCTTTCTTTCTTTTTGCATTTACTAACCACAACTGTCTGCGGATTTTATAATGAAAACTAATAATAAACTCAGAGAATGCATATCTCATTAAAGTTGAATAATATGCAAATTAAGTAGCTTTGAATGCAAAACAAAATGCAGCCACTTGACATATTTTTTTGTATTGTTTTAAATTAATTTTAAAATAAAGTAGGTAAATTTTTGGTTGTTTGAGTGATGCAAGCTCTTCCATTGACACTTTATTGTATGTACTCTTCAAAAACAGGGTGGAAAGTAGTACAACATAATTACATCCAGTAAGTGCCATGCATGGTAGAGCGTGCCTCATTAATTAGTCTGGACTGACAATGAGCGTATTTTCAACAGCAAAAATAAGCTCATGCAATCTTATTTCAATTGCAGGGATTTTTTTCTTAAAATTTCCAATCGTAATTTATTATTACTGTGGTAGAATTACACGATAATCTTGATTTGATGATTTTTCTTGAACAATAAAACCCATTGATGAAAAGCCGACGTTGAATTCAAATCACCGAGTATTGTTATTATTTTTATAATTTCTTCTACTTTCAGTGCACTTCACTTTAAAAGGAATATATAAACGATATAAACTTTTTCAAATAATTACTTAGCTTGCAAAAACATACGAAGTAATCAAAATAGTAAACAAACAAAAGAAAAATATAAACTTGCATTTATAACAAAAAATGTTCTCTATTTAATTTTTTTATTACAAAGATTGTGCTAAATATTTTCCACGCAGAGTGAATCATTACACTCAATTTGGTACATGTTGTGAATATAATTAATTATTCGCTTTCTTCCTATCTGATTATAGAAATTTCTCCGCTGGAGATGAAACTTTGAGGCTGTGCGTGTTTATCGACCTCATGCGCCAACCACATTTTCGCTCGTTTTTGAGCGTTTTTGGCGTTCGTTGGGCCGCTTTTTTAATGTAATTTTCACGCACCAACACACATCGAGCATCAACAAAAGTGCCGGTCCAACGCGAATTCCTGATAAGCGCGGACAGCGTGTGCCCTATCTGCGGGAAAAGTGGCGGGAACGAGGAAAAAAAATGATTTTCCGCTATGCAAAAAAAAATCATTTTTTTCCAAACAAGATTTTACTGTAATCTAAATAAAAAATAGATGAAAGTTAACATATCAACTTATGTCAGATGAATTAAGTGAATAAATTGACATTGTTTAAAAAAATTATAATAATTTTTCAAACCTGTTTCGATTTTTCCCAAATTTTGGAGTTTTTACTCTTTTGTTCCAGAAACGTGGCAACCTTCAGCAGGTGATATTTTCTCTCCCTCCCGTTTTGAGCACAAAGGAACAGACCACGATCTGTCTTCTTCGCACAGGTAGGTTTTGGGGGAGAGGGTGAGTTTATAAACCAGTAATGGAGAAAAACTTGAACTCACCATGCACGGAAATTCCACGGCGAAGAGGCGCAGGTCGAGCCAAGTTCGGCACCGAAACAATAGCTCTGAAAGTCGACGACGCGCCGAAAACAGACCGGGACTAGGAGGATTCGGACAGCGGTGGTTTGCAGACAGAGAATCAGCAGCGAACGCGAGAGACGCGAGCACACGTTGTGGTCGCGACGAAACCGGCTCAGCCACTGACAAAAGCGGCCGATGTAGACTCTCGCAAAATATATCGATATCTCATATCGATATGAAAAAAACCGATATATCGCGATATTTTTACCGGTTTTTCCGTTAAAACCGATATATATCGGAATCGATATGAAATAACCGATATATCATATCGATATATCGATATCGAAAAATTTTTGCGAAAGTCTAGGCCGATGCACGGGCGGGGAGTCGCTCGCCCATCCCCGCCCCTCCTCGGCTCGGCTCGGAAGGCGCGCCAACGCAAGCGCCCCGTGCTTTTCCCACATTACGAATTTTGTTCTTTTGCTCATGCGAAATTCAAATTTCAAATTTCGCTTGCGAGTGATGTAACAATGCATAAAAAGTTGTTTCCGTAATGTTTTAGTTTTTCTTCATATTAACTTTAAATTTAATAGATTTAGTTTGTGAATTGTATCTATTCAAAATGAAAAAATCAACAAATTCATGTTGACATTTTTATTAGGGAAAAATGAAAAGTAAAAATTATTGAATAACTAATTTTAGCCCTGCATTATTTTTAGTTTTTAAATATAATTATTTTTTTTTTAAATAATAATTAGAGTCTTTTTCTAGTAAATATCATTCTAATCACTTCCTCATCTCAAAGTTTTAAAAGCTTATATATCATAATTCTAATCTATAAAAAATTTAAATTTTGTTGATAAAAAAATATATCGTAAAATTTCAGAAAAATTAAATCATATAACTTAAACAGTTTATTCAGGTTTCAGTTTAGCCGGAAACTATATTAATTTTTAAATTTTCTTTCTATGAAAATAAAAATACTTCGTCTATACACCCTTTTTTAAAGCGATTTCATTTTGTGTCACCGGGTGAAATATAATTTTTTTGTTAATATCATTACGATTTCTAGTCAAATAATATTATTGGTAGGCTATATATTATCTATGTACATAATATATAGAAAATTTATTTTACTAAAAGCGATACAAAAAGCAAATCACCTAATAAAAAATAAAATATGATATTTAATTTGAAAGTTTTTTTAACATCAGCTTCAAAACGTTCAGCGATATAGGAAAATGATTTTTTTCTATGAATCAACATCCTGTCAATCGTAAGCATCAATTATGATTATAATTATTATTACTATTTATTTTCACTCCCAATTTTTGTGATTCAACCCTCATACATCACATGTCATCATTTCTAAGTAAATTACTTCCTTCCAAGAGGCAGTTAAACAACCTTTTTAAAAAACAGGAAACGATTTTATTATCGTGCCCTGATAAAAAGCAGAACCTGGCGCTGCGACCACACACAGGGCTACCCTTCACAGTCGCCAACACATTTTATTTTTTTATACCACGTTGCACAGAACTATGAAAATGCGTACAATCTTTTTCAGAAAAGTGCAGCCCAGAACAATTGTTTACATCGCACTAAGCGTCCTCTCGGGAATTTTCTTTGCCCTGCGAATTCGTCCGGTCAGAGATTCGCTCAACATGGACTACTCGGGTCTTAAGGTCAAGGACGTCATCAAACTGAAGGACCTGACTCCGATGCTGGCGGACGACAGCTATTCCAGTTCGTTGATTTTCGGCAGGGAGAACAAGGTGGTGTTTTTCATCGAGTCGTCCGGGACTGGAGTCCTCAGTACGAGGCAGTTGTGCACCATCGAATCGCTGCAGGAGAACAACCCCGAGGTCAAAATTGTAGTGCTCTACGTCGACCCTGTCAAGGTGGTCAACCTCGCCGGACAAAGCTCGCTGTTCAAGGTGTTGAGAAACGCAAACGGCCGTGTTGTTCTTGCCACAGTCAATGCGACGTATGTAAGTATATAAATTAATATTTTTTGCATATTATACATTGCCAGTAATGAGCATTGCATTGACTGCCGGTATGCAGAGATCCATTAAAATGAAAGTTCCAAATTAAATTTATTATAATTTTGAAATTTCAACTTTCTGAAAATTTTCAGCTCCATCCTCTCTTTTCTTATACAAAAAAGAATATAAACATGCATGTTTCTGCTTCTGACAATGAGAAACAAAAAATTCACCTTTTTTACAAGATATATTAATAATTTAATTTATTTGAATTCAGGAAATGCATTCATACTTTTTCTAATACAACTTTTTAATTTATTGATCGCTGCTTTGTATGAATTAATTAAATTCAAATTTTCAGATCGTGGAAAAGTCGGGGATTTTCAAAACAACGGCGCAAAAAATTTTTCATGTGACTCCGTACAAAACTCACCACGTGAGTGATATTCTGCGGCTCATCCTGATTTGGAAATTCGGCGGTTTCTACATGGACACCGACCTGGTGATTTTCAAAAATCTGGACAAATTACTTTCTGTGGAGAATTTCCTGTTGAGTCAAGTTGACGACTCGATCGCGCCGTACTTCTTCGGCTTCCGCAAGAACCACCCGATGCTGCAGAAAATGATGGAGACGGCCCGAGATGAGTACCTGCCCCATTACTATGCAACGGTGCCGAACGCGATGGGCTCGGCCATTTCCAGACACTTCAAGGTTACCGTCAAGGAGGCGATTCACCGCGGAAAAGTCGACGATGTGCTCGTCGTCAACTCAACCGTGTTTTCACCGATTTCTCTTGATGAGTTTGTCGACCTTTTCCGCGACAACAACCAGCAAATGATTCAAAAGATCATGGGCTCCAGTTTGGGCATTCACGTGTGGAACTATAAGAGCGGCGAAACCAGGATCATGATCAACTCCTCTTCTCCCTACTCCGTCCTTGCCAGGGATCACTGTCCTAGGGCCTATTTTGGTCACGAAAGCGATTTCTTTTAATTTTGGTTCATGTTTTTAATTTATGGCGTTAAAAATGCAAGAGTGACTGATTTTAGTTAAGGAAAATTGTAAAACTAAAAATGCTTAGTAGGAGGATAGTTAATTCTGTGTGTTTCTTGATTTTTTTTTTTAAGAGTAAAATTTGTTGATTTTATTGATATTAATATGGAATCAATGTTAATAGGTAACAGGAAAATTAAAATTTCAGGTCTCTTTGATTTGTAATTAAAAACCAGACTAAATAAACGTTGAAGTTCGGTGACGCTAAAAAAAATACAATGCATACACACAATTAAGGCCTGTGTCTAATATTGATTGAATGAAATTTGATTTTTTTTTTATATCATTGAGATTTTTTTCATTAATTGATAATTTTGGCACACTGATTTTCCGACTAATAATAATTTTTCTGCCATAAAAAAAAAGTAAAAAAAAAATGTTACTTACTGATTCTGGTTTAAAAATTGTGCATAAAAAATAATTTTGCTTTTTTATGAAACAGGCACAGTATTTTCTGATCAGTTGAATAAAATAAAATGTAATTATTGTATTTAAAGACATCACGTGTGTTTTTGTAAAATCATGCAGCTGCAGCATTTATTAGAACATTATTTTCAAAAAATTTAACTTGTCTGCATACATGTGTGCATAATTATAAATTATCAAATAATTTATTTCCTTCAAATTCATTAAATAAGTTAGCAAAATATAAAATAAAATTGAATTAAATCTTCATTTTTGGTTTGTTTTTTATTTATTGTGTATTTTATTCAACTCTTCTGAATGCTTAATAAAAATGTAAAAAATTTTGGTATAAATATTGCAGGCCAATACGGAAACTCGTCGCACCACGCAGCTGATTAAAAAGTGGCAAGGTGGACAACAATAAAATTGCTGATTGTGAGTCGTGGGCGAGCAGTCCTGCACGATGAGACTTCCGTGTCGGCTGTTGGACGTATTATCCTTTTTGATTCCTCTCGTGATTGTTGCCACATTTATTCTGGTGCAAGAACAATGGCAGCGGCGAAAGGCACCCCTTAACGCAGCCCTCGTCAACATGACCGAATCTACGATGCTCACGCTGCAGGATTTGACGCCAATCGTCGACAGTGACGACACCGAGTCTATTTTCGGCTCGTCGAAAGTCATCTTTTTTGTCGAATCTTCAGGTTTGGCCAAATTGAGCCCTCGACAGGCGTGCACCATTGAATCGGTGGCCAGACACTCAAAGGGTTACACGCTGGTCCTGCTTTACGTTCACCCGGTGCGTTTAATAAAGCTGAGGGAGAACGTGGCACTGTACGAACTACTAAAGGCGCACGGAAATATCATCAAGGTTTTCACCATCAACGCCCCTCATGTAAGAATTTATTATATAATAATTATACCCAAAAGTTAACGATTGAAAAGTTTTTCGTAGTGACGATTTATGATTACTGATTAAGTATACCCAAAAGTATAATATGCTGTGATTATGGTTTCAAGGTGATCACGTTTTATAAATTAAAAATATTACTCGATTTAAAAAAAAAGAAGAAAAAAAAACACATTTAAACACAATCATTATGAAATCAGACTTATCAGGAAATGTAAAATTTAATTTTTACTTTGAAATTATGAAATACAATATTAAAAACGTGTAAAAATAAAAATGTTGCTGATTAACAGAAGTCTTAAAAAAATTTGAGTAGTAATTTTAATTAAAGCAAAATTTGTGATTTTTTATGCTTTAATTTTTATTAAATCGTACAATATTTTTTTCAACTTTTGATTAATATTGTTTTGTCTTTTGTCGATTACAGTTTTTGACCAAGTTGACACCGTTTGGTACCACTGCGAAAGCAATGTTGGAAGTGTCTCCATTCAGAGCAAATCATCTTAGCGACTTCCTACGACTTAGTCTGGTTTTGAAGTTTGGTGGCTTCTACATGGACCTGGACGTCCTCGTGTACCGCGACTTGACGGACCTTCTGAAATTAGACAATTTTCTCCTAACTCGCACAAACGAAACGATCGGCTCATACTTTTTTGGTTTCCAACGCGGCAATCCAATGATCAAGAAGTTGATAGACCAGGTGATATCAGATTATGTGCCGCAGTATTACGCTGTTGTGCCAAACTCGATGGGTGGAGCTTTTATCGGGAAATACAACACCTCCGTTGGAGCAGTTCTGGCTAAAAAAGGAAAACTGGACGATGTTCTCATTTTAAACTCAACGTTGTTTTCTCCACTAGGTGACTGGGTTACTTACCCAGATTTATTTAACGAAAATAAAACGCATCTCGCAGAGGATTTTCCTAAAATTAGTTATGGAGTACATATTTGGAGCTATCAGAGCGGGCGAAAGACGGTATATTTAAATTCAACCTCACCAATTGCCAAACTGGCCAAAGACCATTGTCCCAGGTCGTTTGAAACAAGCAGAATTTTTGGCTCATTTAAATAAAATTTAAATTAAATTATTACTCATTGCTTGACTTTGATGAAAAGCACATGATCATTACTCTTTTGAAGTGCATTTGTTTTATGTAATGATTTATTAAAAAATATATTGAATCTTTCAAAAATCAAAAATAAAATGGACTGATTGTGAATGTTATATTTTCTTTCTTTTTAAAATACACTCCCATTGCCATTGTAGATGGAAATTTAAATTTATTAATTTTTAATTCATTTCAAGTTTTGGAAATAAAGAAGCATTGTATTTTTATTAGTAATAACCGATTATTTTTGTATTGATTTTCAAACCATTTTTATTAATTTCATTGATTTTCAATAATAAAATATTAAATTATCATCAAAATATTTCTTCAGCTGATTTTTGTGTTTGAAATTGTGGATTGATCATTAAATAATATAATTTGGTCATGACACTTTTTTCCGTAAAAAAATTAGTCCCTCTTCTGTTTTGACGTTTTTCTTCACAAGCGGCCACGTCTGACAGTAATTAATCATGATACCCCACTGATAAAAAAAAAACATGCAAAAATTCATAAAAAAATTTGCCAATAGGGAAAACTTGTTGGCCAACAGTGCCGCAGAACTCACAGAGCTGATAAAAAAGTGGCAAGGTGGCCAACAATCACTACGATTGTGAGTCGTGAGCAAGCAGTCCGGCACAATGAGACTGCCGGACTTAATATTCTTTTTCATTTTTCTCGTCATTGTTGCCACAATAGTTATGGTTGCCGAACACTGGGAGCAGCAAAGTGCACCCCTTAACGCAGCCCTTGCCAGAATGACTGAATCGACGATGCTCACGCTGCAGGATTTGACGCCGATCGTTGACAGTGGCGACGCTAAATCAGTTTTTGGCTCGTCGAAAGTTATCTTTTTCGTCGAATCTTCAGGTTTGGCCAAATTGAGCCCTCGACAGGCGTGCACCATTGAATCGGTGGCCAGACACTCACCGGGTTACACGCTGGTCCTGCTTTACGTTCACCCGGTGCGTTTCATAAAGTTGAAGGAGAACGTGGCACTGTACGAACTGCTAAAGGCGCACGGAAATATCGTCAAGGTTTTCACTATCAGCGCCTCTCACGTAAGACTTTTTTCTATCATTATTTCTTCTCAAAAGTAATTAATTAAATTAAATAAGTTTGTCTGAAAAAACACACAAAAAAATTGCAGAATAGAATATAAGTTTTTTTAATGAGGAAATTGAATGAGAAACAACAATTGAACAAAAAGGTTACATTTCCTCGTAAAAAAAATATGAAATTAATAACTAAAAATAAAAAATTCAAAAGTTGCTGCTCAAAGAAGCCTCTAAACAGCAATTTTTGTATTCCAAATCAGCAATATCTGCGACATACTTTCCACATTATTTTTTTAATCGAGATGACACAATAAAAAAAATTAATAGCCATTTTATGTACATAAATTTCATTAAAATCATTTGCAATACTTCAAATAAAAATTTTATATTATAAGTAACAAACTTTTATATGTTAATTTAATTGCCTCTAATTATTTTTTTCAATTACAGTTTTTGACCAAATTGACTCCGTTTGGTACCACTGCAAAAGCCATGCTGGAAAAGTCACCTTTCAGACCAAACCATCTTAGCGACTTCCTGCGTCTAAGTCTGGTGTGGATGTTTGGCGGCTTCTACATGGATCTGGATGTCATCGTGTATCGCGACTTGACGGACATTCTTAAATTAGACAATTTCCTCCTCACTCGCACAAATAACACACTCGGATCGTACTTTTTTGGTTTCAAACAATCCAGTCCCGTGTTAAAAAAGATAATAGAACAAGTGATTTTTGAGTATGTGCCGCAGTTTTATGCTTCTGTGCCAAACTCGATGGGATCGGCTTTTGTCTGGAAGTTCAACACCTCTGTCGAAGCAGCGGGGGCAAAAGGAAAACTGGGCGACGTCCTCATTTTAAACTCTACTTTGTTTTCTCCACTCGGTGACTGGGTTACTTATCCAGATTTATTTAACGAAAACAAAACGCAACTTGCTGAGGATTTTCTCAAAATTAGTTATGGAGTTCATGTTTGGAGTTATCAGAGCGCGCATAAGATAGTATATTTAAATTCAACTTCACCAATTGCAAAACTGGCCAAAGATCATTGTCCCAGGTCGTTTGAATCAAGCAGAAGTTTTGGCTCATTCAAATAAAATTTCAATATAATTGATAATAATTAATTGACTTTGATGAAAATCAGACCATTAACATTTTGAATGTGACACTTACTTTGATGTTTATATCTATATAAAAAAATGATCCTTTTCCTTTTTTATTAAAAAAAAAGAATTAAATAAATAAAATAAAAATACATAAATTCCGATGATTTTTTTTAATGACTCCTTCTGACCACTAATAGAAAATTTGCCTCACGAAGCAGAGACCGAGTTTGATAAGAAAGAACTGGCAAGGTGGCCAACCATGTATAATCAACATTTTCGTTGCACTTTACTTGCTGATTACGAGTTTCGAGTGAGCAGTCCAACACGATGCGACTGCCGTGTCGGTCGTCGGACATAAAATACATTCTTCCTTTTGCTGTTTTGGCCATACTAATTGTAGTTCATGAAAATCCGACGAAAAAAACACACCAAAATTCAGGCCTAACAAACATGACCGAATCAACAATGCTTCAGTTGCAGGATTTGACGCCAATCGTCGACAGTGATGACACGAAGTCTATTTTCGGCTCTTCGAAAGTTATCTTTTTCATCGAATCTTCAGGTTTGGCCAAATTGAGCCCTCGGCAGGCGTGCACCATTGAATCGGTGGCCAAACACTCAAAGGGTTACACATTGGTCCTGCTTTACGTTCACCCTGTGCGTTTCATAAAATTAAAGGAGAACGTGGCACTGTATGAACTACTAAAGGCGCACGGAAATATTATCAAGGTTTTCACCATCAGTGCGTCCCACGTAAGAAAGCATTTACTAAAGTTTTACATTTTTAAATATATGGAATTATATTGCTTATATTGAAAGAGAATATTTAAAAGTTCATTATTTCAAGAATTATTTATTTAATTGAATAAAAACAATTTTCAAAATAAAATGGCCTTTTATAGGGGATAAAGAGAAATTGAATTGCATAATGGCAAAATGTATTCATTTATTTTCTTTACTGTTATTCCATTAGATTATTTCCAATGACATAAATTGAAATCAATATATGCATTATAATATGCAATCAGGATATCTTATCATAATAATTTTGAAATTAAATTTCCAGTTCTTGACCAAATTGACACCATTCGGCACCACAACCAAATCCATGTTGGAAGAATCACTGTTCAGAGCAAACCATCTTAGCGACTTCCTACGGCTAAGTATGGTGTGGAAGTTTGGAGGATTCTACATGGACCTGGACGTCATCGTTTACCGCGACTTAACGGACATTCTGAAATTAGGCAATTTCCTACTCACTCGCACAAATAACTCCATCGGCTCGTACTTTTTTGGTTTCGAACAGGCCAGTCCAGTGTTAAAAAAGATGATCGAACAAGTAAAATTTGAGTATGTACCGCAGTATTACGCTTCTGTACCAAACGCGGTGGGGGCGGCTTTTATCTGGAAGTTCAACACCTCTGTAGAAGCATCCTTGGCCAAAGGAAAACTGGACGACGTCTTCATTTTAAACTCTACTTTGTTTTCTCCACTTGGCAACTGGATTACTTATCCAGATTTATTTGACGAAAACAAAACGCAACTTGCTGAGGATTTTCTCAAAATCAGTTACGGAGTTCATGTTTCGAGCTATCAGAGTGCGCATAAGACTATATTTATTAATTCCACGTCTCCAGTCGCAATTTTTGCCAAAAACCATTGTCCCAGGTCGTTTGAATCAAGCAAAAGTTTGGGCTCATTTTGAAGTTTCCAACATTTCTATGGTTTAAATTTCATGTACTTCATAATGGATTAATATAACAGCATGTTGGATAAAATAATTTTTTAATTCTAGCTTCACTAACTAAGTGTAAAAACAAAGTATTAAATATCGGCATATTCTATTTGGTAAATGTACTGCACACACAAAATCGATGAATGAGGAATAAATAATTATGCGGTAATATTTAAAATATTATTGAAAAACAATAAAATTCCAAATTTATATTTGTAAAATGAATTGTACATAAAATTATTTTTAAGTGTTTGTGAACGTATTTTAGTAGTGTGGGTTAGCCGCGGAGACCAAGCCTCTTTTGGTGTCTGGCGTTTTAGAAAACATCTGCCCTTTCTTCTCTTTTATAAATTATAATATGATTTTTATGCAAAGAGAAGATAAGATAAAAAATTTTTGAAATAAGGTTTGAACAAAACATTTTTTATTTGTTATGCATGCAAACCTTGAAAATTGGTTTGGTTACAAAAACTGATTAGAAATTACAAAAACATCATCCCCTACTGTCCAATGAACGTAAGTTTTTCCATTTTTACCTAATTCAAACAAAAGAAACTGATGGAAATTTCAAAGAGGATAGATTTTTCACGAAAATAAATTTCCTACTGATCAATTATTCAATTGGATCTAAATTCACGGGCGCCACCGAACAATTAGGGTGCGTCGAACGTCTCAAAGGAGAAATTGGCCGTGCTCGCTGCGTGCAAGAGGCCGATACTCATTTATTTCCCGCAATTACAGCTGCGAGAGAGAGAAACAGCAGCAAATGCGCTCTCGCCGCTTGTTCTAAGTGTGTTTGGCCATTTTCATGCCAAAGCGCAATTATTGTCCGGCGGCTGCTACCCCAAATTACAAATTAGTTTCTCCGGAGAGAAAGAGAGGCTCAAGTCGGTGGGTTGTTTTGCTTGTGGGCTCGAGTGGGTGCCACTCACTCTCTTTCTCTTTCCTTTGCTCCTGAGCCTCTTTTCTTCTTTTCTCCCTCCTCAGGCTTATACTTACAAGGGAACATCACCAGTTTTTTTTACAAGAATTTCAAATCTATGTATTTGGGTAAATATTAATAAATAAATAAAAAAATTTATTGCTTTAAAACTTTTTTTTTTTAGCAAAAATCTCTATAAATATTGTAAAATTTTATTTAAAATTTAAGTGAAATTTAAAAAAAAAATATTTGAAAGTTGAAGGAAGTTTAATTTTATATAAATAAAATAACTAAAAAAATGACATGCAAACTTTAAATTCGTAATACGTAGTAGTAGATTATAAGACGTGTATTTTATGTAAAATATTGCATTTAAGGTTTTTTTAACTATTATGATAGCAACATCAACTATGCGCACTAATTTGACAAGAAAATGATTTACAGGAACTCAAATTCGTGAACTATCAGCGACAAGAAATTTGTATAGGGATATCTAATTTTAACATCGTTCCATTAGACACTTATTTTTGGTTGCAGAAGATTGGTGGCGTTCCCTTGTTATGGCCGGTCGCACCAACTTCTACTCAAATCCTACTCCCGCATCCGCACACTTGCAGATTGCTTAACCGTCACTCAGCCGGAACGAAAAGCCATACCCGGGATAAAAATATTTAATATATATTGGTGCACCACTCTACCGCGAGCAGGCGAGAGATGCAGCAGGGGTTAATTGAGGTAACTCGGGCAAAACAAAACTCAGTGCGGGGCCGGAGAAATAATAACGCACCCCTTCCACTTCCGCGGCCAGCACCCCTCGCCCTCTTTAATCACACAAGCCGTCGATTTGCAGTGGTCACTGCTCTCTCTCTCTCTCTCTCTCTCCAACTCCAGAGAAGGAAGGGTTAGTCGGTTTGGGAAAACAAGCATGCAGCACACAAACCCTCTCATGCAAAACACGTCCAGCGGAGGGGTGCGAGGAGCAAGAAGGGGATGAAATGACAACTCTTCGCTTTTGATTGATTAGGAAAACCAATATACGTCGTCACTAGCTATTGATCTTGGCGGACACTCAGCGGAAATGGAATTTATTCAATTTCACTAGATCCTTAATCTAAACTGAAATCGTGTTTTGATTGAATTTTAATTATCTTAATCAAATATTGATTTGCAAGGATACAAAAAGTGTTATTCATCAAAGTATAATTTTGATGTAAATAATGTGGACAAATACAGACATAGATAAACAAAAATTACATAAATAATGGAGGGCCCTAGGTGTTTGATTACATAAACACGTGGCTTCCAAATTGGGTGAAAAGTATTGATTAATTTTAAAAAGTAGCCTTTGTCTATTAGGACTAATTGTAACTAAAAATAATTTTTAATATATACGTTTTGCATTCATACATGGTTTTGTGTAATTTTTTTTTAATAGAGTTGAAATTAGGCGTGATCGCTTAGTGCAATAGCAAAAACAAAATTTTGTAATAATTTGAGGTAGCATATTTACAAACTTTGGCTTGGAGCTATATTCAAGTGGTTTTTAAATGATAAATAATAAAGAGGCATTCTTTTATTACTCAAGAAAATTTATAATTTCTTTTCTAGGAAATACGTGCTGCATTTCTATCTCTTCGTTCAAGTATTTGCAAGAGAAGAGCCATTTTGTGCGAAAATGTTAGTGTGGGCGTCGCACAAGTTTAAATAAAATAGAAATATATCGCTCTGGGCCGGGTACAGTGCAGGGCGATAATTGATGGCCCGCTCAAGTAATAATACGAAATGTCGCTCGCGTCCGTTCGACGAGAATAACGATGAGGAAACGCCGTCGGCTGACGTTGAAGAATGTCTCGCAATAAAAACCGACGAGAAAAAGAAACAAATTTCCGGGGCCGAAAGAAAACGAGCGAAAGCTGGTGCCGACAAATATTTGGCGAAAGAAAGCGCTCCTGCAAACAACATCGCTCACAATTAATGACAGGAAATTAATTCCCATTCCAGATAAAACCCTTCTCTCGGCAAAAAATTTATAAATCGTGAATTTCTGTAGGTGCCTCTCGCTTTGTTTTGATTTTGTTACGTGTTTTGCAAGGACTTGGTGTTGCACTTTCTGGTCACGTTGGTTGAGGCATGACCGTCCAGATGTGACACTTATTTGAACTATACACGTATTTGCCGCTGATGGAGCCAATGAAACAAAAAAGAGAAAAGTGCAGTTCGCGCCGGCGGGCATAAAGTCGTCCGCAAATGGTCGAGGGCCAACTTTTTCCCACTTTTACGATGCAGCCTCAATATAATTTGGACGAAACTTTTGTACTACGTGACAGACGCCGCCGGCATTAAAATTATTTTCCTAGCAACTCACAAACACAACTTTGTTAGACTTTGTGGAACATTTAAAAGAAATGATAAAACTGCAGGAGAATTTTTCCTTCAACATTATTTTTTTTTTGTTATATGATATGTATCCTATATAATCTACGTTATCTATCATGATCGCTGATTTCATTTTTCAGCTTTTTTTAACGAATTAATTAATTTCTGGTTCCTTATCATCCACGGGAACTTATCATCTGTTTTGTTTCTTCGTTCATTGTTTCAAAAAAATTTCATATAATTTAATGACATATCATTTAATTTTTCATTTTCTTTAATAACACAAAAATTAATTTCAAGAGTTAGCACTCAAGGAGACGCTCACAAATATTAATTCCTTCCTCATTTATAGCATTGTTTCCTTTAGATGTCATGTAATGTAATGTGAATAATACATAAATTGTTATATAAAAAAAACAATGGTTTTAAAATGGAATATTACATAAATTTATTATGTTTGTGTATAGCTATTTTTGTATTTATTCTTATTAATTTCATTTCTCACAGCAGCGGATGTGGTCTTTTGATCTTTGATGTTTTACCAAAATTCTTACTAGTGACGTTTTTTCATACAATTCCTTTTTTTTTTCAAAAATAAATTGTTTTCTATTGAATGCAAACAATAGTGTCAATAACAATATGTATAAATACAAATATTAATGATAATTTAATAATTTCAAAAGATTCTCAAATTCCCTTTTCATTTTGAGGTAGGATTTCATGATCGAGGTTTGATTCATGGTGAATTGAATTTGAAAACAATATCCTGCGGGAAACTGTTTTTTCTTTCACAATAAACAACTCACAAAACCCATCAAGGGAAATCAGATTTTAAATTCCCTTTTCATTTTAGGAAAAGGTGTTGAAATACTTTTTCCACTGTTAAGAAACAAATGAAATCTGTTTATCTCTCGTTGGATCCAACTTTCTATTTTCCAGAGGAGAATAGAACGTTTACGCGGCAGTTAAATTAACTCCAGAACAAGCACATTATTATTTGCCGGCTGACTCGGAAGAAGATCAAAAGCTAATTACCACGCAACTATGAAGCAGCCGCAGGAAAATTCTGTCTCCGGGGAAAACGTCATACGCAAGTGTACGCTTTTGTTCGTCAGGTATAAGAAAAGAGAAGTAATTTCTCGTCTACATTTATACATATAAATTCAACAAAGCAGGCCAGCATCTGCCAAGCCTTTGGGTTTTCCAACTGGAAATTGCACGACTTGGCTTTAATATTCATGCTTTCTGGTTATGAAAATGAGCTCGCTCCGGGAAATAATATATTGCACAAACTTTCTTGAATTCAATTACTTTGCGGCAAAGTCTAGCTCGCTCGCTGTTCTCCTCTGCAGCGACGCGGGGTCTCTTGAACCCTCTTGTCGGCGCAGAATGAAAAAGAAAGAAATAAGGCAGGTGCACCTCGCGTTAGTGGAGCAACATATTATATTCACCTACCTGTGCGATATGCGAGAGTATAATTTCCTCTCTGAGAGATGCATCTCTCACGAATAGAAAAGGAGGAAAAAATGTTTGGCCAAACAAAAGTGTGTGCATGCCATGTCATCTCCGCTTGATTTATTTCCTCCGAGGAAAACTGCGCACTATGATTATTATGCGAAAACAAGTAGTTTTGTAAGCGGAACTTGAAGCTATCATGTTAAGAGAAGTTAACCAAAATAGAAAAATTATTTAACGCAGATTAAAATTGAATTTAGTCACACAAACTAAAACTAGTCTTTTTATGAATGAATGAATGAATTATTTTTGGTAATTTCCACTTATAAAGTTAGTCAGTTAAATTTTTAATTATAACGCCTCATAAATTATAGCTTATTTTAAATTAATTACAAAAATTTATTAAACTACCTAAAGTGAAAAAATCAGCTTATTTTATCATGAAACAAAATTACATTTAATAAACTATGTAGCTAGTGTTTAAAACTAGAGGCAATAATTATTGGAAGTATGCAACTGGCTGGACACAACGGTGGAGCGGATTGCCTGTGTATACGTTTTTTTCATCTTTCGCTTGTGTGGCCAAAAGTGGAAATTTTCAGACGATTTAGTTTTGTTTTGCGAGGAGAAGTGACAAATACGATTGCAAAACGGCAGCGAGAACCCGGCGGCGGCACTGGCGGCAGAGGTAAAAAAGATAATCCTTGAGCGCTAAAAGAGATAAATTTGAATTATTTTGAACAAATGTCTGCGCTCAGATTATCCCAGATTAAAGTTTTAGAATTTATGTGTAATCCGCAACGACAGCAGCGAACGCGTAATCTTCTTTTTAAATAATTCGTTTATGAGCGCGCCGCCGCGCTTTTTCTCTCCGCGCAAAATAGCTGCGGAAGTGGCGGCCGGCCGGCCGGAAAGCATCAAGAGAGAAAAGGGAGTTTTCAGTTGGAAGCAGCCGAAGAAAAAGAACAGGAAAAAACACAGGGAGAGTGAGAGAGATAGAACAGGCGAAAAAGGCGGATTTGCACTGGAGACGTGCGGCCTTTTTATTATTCAAGAGCTTCTTCCGAAATCATCATTCTGCTGGATGCTGATGACTGCCGAGAAAGGAGCCATTTTTTATCTCACACCCGGACGCGCCCAGATGCAAAACTTTATTGTGTATCTTAAGAGGGCATGTTTTCATTTCTCTTCTGAAATGTATCTTACAAGGATCGCAGCTAACTGCTTTTCGCTCGTGCCCAAGGCACCTGGATAGCACAATGTTACCAACCTTACGTTTTCTA